AATATACCGATTTAGGGCGAACAAACGCAAGATAATTAATTATTATTATCCTTTGTTACATCCCAAGTGAAGCCTCTACAACTACAGGTTGTCAAGACATCGTACTTTATGGATGCAATCACAGACGAGATATATAAATAGCATTGCCACGGACGAGGTAGCAAACTCAGTACTCGAAACCGATTAATCCTTGTAAACCCATGCCGAAACTAAAGCCTCAGTTAAAACCTGAACAATCCGCTAACAAAGTATCGAATGTGGTGAGTAATGCTAGATATTTCGACCTAAGTTAAATATTTCGACTGAACTTTGCTTATCCAAAAGTTCAACTACTTCGTGTGTCACCCAAGCGGAGCCTTTGCTATTTTAATAAAAATGCTACGTCTCACGGTGTTATGAGAACGTAATGGTTTTGGGATCGTGTGTTTTGGTAAGGTTGGATAAAGATGGAAAAAAAAGTGTTTCGTCTCGGAGTCGCCACCAGACTCATCAGTGATTGTAGCGACGTCGAGTGCCATCCAATGTGTTGCAGCGACATCTACTTTCGCTCAATCGTTCCATCGAAAGGTGCGTTTCCATGAAACGGACAGCGCCACCTTTCTGAGGTGAAGTAATCAAAAGCGCGACAAAGCTTCTTGCTTTCTGACGTTAAAGAAAGACCCTCATTATTTCTTGTGCTGGCGGCTTTCTCAGAACGATTCCATTACGAAGCACGTGGAGAGATTGTTTAGACAGAAGAAATATATTCCTATACTTGGAAGTGTATTTTACCTTTCCATCTATTAAATCAAATATCGCTGATATTTATGGGTACTCTGGAACGCAGCAACGACTTTACCTACAGTGAGGGCTGATGATGGCGACCACAGACGCTTGTTAGAGGCCTCTACTAGACTAGGTATGAAAATGGCACCCATTCTAAGGCCGATCCGCATGGCGCTTAACCTTAGTGTGATCGCCATAGATCCATTGGTTAACCTCATCCACTTGCGGCTGGTGATTTTTTATGTTTTTTGGAATTTGTATATATTAAAACTACCACACCAGTCAAAATGACTGATTTTACAATTTTATTTTAAAATTTCTACTTCATGTTACATTTTTTTTCAATGATGTAATATGACTTTTCTAGTGATAACTAAAGAAATAATATAATGAATTTTATTTTATTTTTATTAAGAATCAAAATAATTTTGTATCATGGCTACTTATACTCGAAATGACTGGTCATTTATCAAAGTATAAAAAGGTTCTATAATCTGTTTACCGAACCTAAATCAGTCAGTTTCCTCGTTTTATATTTCTCACACGTTTTTATACTGCTACTATTCAATACGATGGTGATAATGATCAAAAAAATTGCGCATTTTCTTTACTAATTGACGACCACACGTATAATATCTTGCACGGAAGCTTCTCGAATTTTGGACCCTAACAAAAACTAAATTGAAAGCTTTCATTGGAATTTTGTATGCACGGGGAGCATACGAAACAAAAAATTTGATATCTGGATAAGGTGTACAAAAGAAAGCTTCACGCTTCGCTGTTCATAAACTTTTATTATCGTGATTCTTTCAAAGTCTCGAGTGAAATTTACAACTACAAGAATAATACAACTTTCGCGTGAAATGTTTCATGCCTATATATATAGGGATATAATACGAGACTCTCTATACATATATAGGGATATAATACGAGACTCTCTATACATATTAGAAACATGCCTTTATTGAAATTTATTTTTCAAATAAACTTGTTGATTTATAAACACAATTTATTATTTATAAATTTATAGATATTTAATTAAATAAA